TAACAGGGCAACAATGTCCCAGTTAGACTCCCCATTTTTTAGTTATTGTGCAAGGGAGTCCAGTGGACCCCAAAACATTATAAGTCATTGACTGCTCTTGGTTACTCTCCAACAGTTCATAGTAAGACCCTGTGACTGAAGGCACCACATACTTGAGTCACAGATCGTGGAGAAAACATGCTGGGCCTAACCCAGGAGTTCATCCCTAGTGGCTAGCTTGCATAAGGCTGAGGGGTACGATGCCTGCTACTGTCAGGAATAAGTAATCATCAGTCTTACCCAAGTGTGAACCATGTGTACTACAATAATGACTGACCTGGCTAGAAATGGCCCCTGATGCAATAATGGCACACATGTCATGGGAGTCGCCAACCACTTTCTGATTGGATTCTAATCTTGCTCCATAAGAGGGAACTCATACATTGTACTGTTACTAGGGCCAAGAACTTGTGGCCACCCAGATAATAGGCCCTAAGAGAGTACCTACTACTATTATTCTGCTAAATGGATTTAGTATTAAGTTGACTCCTAATGACTTGTAGTTATACCCTTAGATTGGTGCATCTCTCAACCATTATCAGAGACACTTTTTTTTTAAATCAGTAGATGGTGATTAACACAGACCCACAACTGGTAAAGGTGCAAGGAATAAAAGACAGTGGAATGCTTAGCCCTAAATGGGGTGTCACACCCCTTCTCCCATGGCTCAGGAATCATTGTGAAAGATGTGAGTGGAAAGAGTGTAAGAGCCAGAGGTAATGGATGACTGCAAATAACCAGTGTTTTCTGGACACAAAAGAGTAGCTGCACATACAAACTCATAGTGGCTGTGCCAGCATGCACAAAGCCTGTGAAAGATAAAGCAAATCCTTAAATGGACAGGGAATGTTGTCATAGTCCCATGCCTAGCCAAGGAGCTATTCACAATTGATGGATGCTGTGAGAGAAAGAGTCAGTTTTCTTTAAGAATTTGACCCATGGTAGGCTGACCATGCTCAAGTGATTGACTACACAGCCAAGCATATATGAGTAGCACAAATTGGACTTGTTGGGTTTTACAGCAGAGGACTGGGGCAGAGTTGAGCAGAAAGAGAGATGAAAATGAATCTAGGAAGGGGTTGGGGGTAAATGTGGGTAAAATGTATTACATGAAACCTTGAAAAATTAATAAAAATTTTAACAAAGAAAGGTAGGACAACCACAGCGATGCACACCTGTAATCCCAGCACTCAGGAACACAGGGGCATGAATATCACTCAAGTCTGAGGGTAGCCTGAGCTACACAGAGAGTCCTACACCAACTAGACTACATCCCTGGTGCATGAGCAGGCTTTATTGAGCCAATTACCTATGATGGGACACCTTGTACAGCCTTGAGGCAGGGGGAGGGGCTTGGACCTGCCTCTACTAATGTACCTCCCCATGAAAGACCTTATCTTCTTGTAGGAGGAAATGGGGAGTGGGTTGGGACAGGGAGGCTGGAGGGGCTGGAAGAGAGATGAGGGGGATCTTTGATTGGTGTGTAAAATGAATAAAAAAAATTCTTAATTAAAAAATAAATAAATTTTAAAAGGTCTAGTAATGCACATTATAAGAATTTCAGGTGTAGGAGTTAATGGTAGAAGATTTGTTTGGGCTAAGCCTTCTGAGAAATCTTTACCTATAATTTAGTTGCTTCTAAAATAAAACAGTACATTTTGATTATACTTTGTAGAAGGAAAGAAGAGAATGATACATCATAATCTATCAGTTACAAAGAGTGAAATATGAAAATACACTTAAAAAAATGTTTGTCCATAAATCAAACTTAGTCACCCAATGTTATAAAACAAAATCTGTTAGCTGTCAAATTTTAAAAATTTATATAATTCACATTTTTAAAACTTTGAATTTCTTTTTTCAGTTGGGAATATCACACTGGACTTGCATTCATGGAGTTCGTCAATATACTATAACATCTCAGCTATGCATTGTCTATAGCCTTACCTCCATCCACCTCCATGGTGATTCATGCTCATCCGATTTAACCTGAATATGAGTCTGTCTCTCTATCAATAGGATTATCTTGCTCATAATATGTAGTTAATGCATTTCATATTCAAGTTATATCTCACTGCAGAGAGAGAATGTAATTTGTCAAATAATATAACAGATATTTTCCAGAGCATAAAACAATAATAAAATGGGCCTGACTGCCAATAAACGGAGAAGAATTGAAAATGTTTAATCTAATGTTCACTTATCATAGAGGTCCACTCAATTCAGGCAGGAGAAAATTGAATTTTTATAGCAGTGTTTGTTCTGGTAGAGAGAAGTGTGCCGCTAGAATAATTAAGGCAAAGGTTAATGAGCTGATATTTGTCTAGAAGTAAATTAGTTTTACACATTCACTACCAAGAAGAAATTTAAATGTTTTATTGGTATGCAGAAGATGTAAATTTCTTTATAAATTATGTCATTGATTTTTTTCGTGTATTAATTAATTCTATCCTGATTATTCAGTTAAAGTAGCAAAAATGCATACAGCATATTGTTTTCTTTTTTGAATTCTTTTTCTAATGTTAATGCCTGAAGGGTACTTGTTCCAGATGTCAAGTTCATATGCATACACCTTGTATTGATGGCAAAATAAATCCGTCATGAAACATAGCAGTTAGCTTACCGCATATAGTAAGTAACAAGATAGAAACTCAATCTAAGAACCAGCTATGAAACTCTACAAAAGAAATTCCAGCCTTAAAGATCATCCTATAGTATAACTAGTATGTTTTCTTGTGTCCGATTTATAAAAAAATATAGCATGTAATATTATGTCACAAATAAACAACTCACTATTCTAGTCTTTGAGTATCCACTGTAGCACAATAATATCACAAGCAACTTAAACTGTAAGAACAACACCCTTGTCATCTGGAAGATTCAGGAGTCAGGAACCCAGACATAGACTAGGTATGGCCTGTTCTGTGATCCTTCACAGTGTTTGCATACAAGTGTGGACCAGTTATAGAGTCTCTTCTGAGGCTCACATAAATTCCCAGTGAACAGTTGAGCTTGGAAATAATTCTACGCTCAAGGATTCATGTCAGGATTTGGAGGCATTAGATCTTGGGGCTTAGGTTCATTGCAGATTGATGTTCAAAAATCATTTTGGATTTTTGTCACATTAAACACTCCCTACGACAACTGATATCATTCCATCCAAGGGGGATGTTGTCAATAAAGTCTATTGACTACAGTGAAGATAAAACCTTCAACTTCCTGTCATATGGACCACTCCCAGAGTAGCTGATGTCATCCTACACAGCAAATTATATGGTCAAGAGTATTGGTTGTTTGGAGTTAATTTTCCACTTATGTCACTCAATCTCACAATGGGAAGATGAATGTTTGTCAGGGATCACTTGGGAGGAAGAAGAGGCAGATCATGGAGGTAAAATTGCATGACACATGTAATTAAATATTTGCCCATCACCATTGAATAAGCAACACCAGAATTGAGGTGACCATGGCTTCTTAGTGCCTGCCCAAAGCTGTGGTGACAGTATCCATAGCTTTTATACATGGAGAAAACTTTACAGCAGAAGATGTATCAGGAAATTCTTTATCTTTCTCTCAGTTTTTATGTGAACTTGAAGTTGCTTTGAAAACCAGTCTTAAGCAAATGAGATTGGAGCCCTCTGCAACCATGTGAAAGCTGGACGTGGCAGTACATGCCCATTATCTCACTGCTGGGGAGGTAGAGAGAACAGAATCCCTGGAGCTCTCTAATTAATAAAATTGGTCTGTCCAGTTTCAGTGAAAGATTCTTTCAAAAATAAAGTGGAGAGTGATAGAAGAAGGCATCTTACATCAAGATCAACCTCTGTCACATAAGCATGCACACTTGCTCATACATGCACCCCCACACACACACATGTAAACATACACACACACACACACACACACACACACGTATTTATACTAGACACATACATCGCCATACACATAAACACTCACATACATGCATTCACACCTACACATGCATGAACCTTCATACACACATGCATATGCATGCATCCATGTGCATACAAACACTCAAACACACATGTATGCATACTATATACAGAAGTGCAAAAACACACACTATGTCAAGAAATATTAATTAAAGGGAATCAATAAGTCTTAAATTTGTCCACATATACAAATAACATTGATCAAAATCTTCTAAATGTTAGAAACAGAACTGTCATTTTTAACAAACAGCTTCAAAGACTGTTGAAGCAGGATTCTATTAATAAAACCAATGTGGCCTGCTGGTGGTGGCTCATTCCTTTAATCCCAGTACTCAGGAGGCAGAGCCAGGTGGATCTCTGTGAGTTCAAGGCCAGCCTGGTCTACAGAATGAGATCCAGGACAGGCACCAAAACTACACAGAGAAACCCTGTCTCGAAAAACCAAATAACAATAATAATAATAATAATAAATAATAATAATAATAATAATAATAACAATAATAATAATAATAATAAAACCAATGTGATAAGCCTGCTATAAAATAATTTGTGTGTAATGCTTTTAGGAATTGTAACTGGAATAAAATGTTCTAAAATTTATAAAAGTATTACTTTTTTCAGTGGATTTGGGGTTAGATCTTTGTATGTTTTCAATTTCATTCTTAAAAATAAGTGTTACTTATATTTTGGGTTGTGAGCCTAGCCTTTAACAGCTAAACCAACTCACACACCATTAATCCCAGTACTTGGGAGGCAGAGTCAGATGGATCTCTGAGTTCAAGGCCAGCCTGGTCTACATAGTAAGTTCCAGGACAGCCAGAGCTACACAGAAAAACTCTGTTTCAAAATAAATAAATTAATTTAAAAAATGATGATGGTGATGATGCTGATGATGATGATGATGGCGGTGGTGGTGATGATATTGTTGATGATGATGATGTTATACTGAAATAGATAGGAAGGAAGGAAGAAAAGAAGGAAATGAACATCCTTCTTTTTTAACCTCAGACCTCCTCCTGTAAGTGAGCTTGCCACCAGAGGGACTGTAGTTGGTGTCATTTCTGCTGCCGCTATCAATCAGAGCATCGTCTACTCCATCGTGGCAGGAAATGAGGAAGGTAAGTAGAGAATTTTGCCTATGTTTTCTCCAAAAACCAATAAACGTAGAGTCAGGAGAACTTTTGGTTGCACTCCTATTTTCTCTATCCTAATGTAATTGTGTCCACCTTCAATGTAATTGACGACTTTGATTAATAGTCTGGGTGTGTTATCTAAAGTCATTGTGTGCCCTGATTAATGTTTAACATTCAATTATAGAAGCCTTTACCCTCACTTTCTCGGTGATATTTTTGTGGCATTTCTTCAAAATGAATGAATTGTTCTTTCAGCTGCAAGAGATAATTATTTTCAAGACTCGTCTCTCCCCTCTGTGTGTACCACAAGCCTGATCTCATGTCATACTAATCCTGAGGAAGCTTTAGGATCTTGTATAAGTATACATACCAAAAGAGTCATATCAGTGCTAGCAGGCAGGTGTGTTATATAATACAATGCCCCAACCAGACAAATCAGTTAATGGGAAATTTTGAGTTTTGTCTTTCAGCCACTTTCAGAATGGTCGTCATTTGCTGGATTCTAGGAACAAAACCATCTCCCACTCACGTTCCTATCATGTCCCCACTAGAAACAATATCCTCTCCCACTAAAATGCTTCTTCATTTCAAATGTTGTCTACTCTTTTCTCTGCTGAGCCCCTGAGCAGACTGGGATAGGATGGGTGGCTGAGAATGCTTAATCCATATTTAATACATCAGTTTATTTGAAGTGTTTAATCAAAGAGTGAACATGGTTACTCCTTGGCATCTGAAAGGACAGTCCTGAGACTGTCTGGAGTGTTTAGGTGACCACCTGTTACTAGAGGGGGTTTCCCCTGCAGGAAGTGCACACTGATTCCCTGCTTATCAATTCTCTATTTTATCTCCACCACTGCATCTCCTCCCTGAGGGCAATGGAATCTCCTTTCCAAATCCTAAAAGACTGGAATTTCTCAACCTGTTCTGATGTTCACCCTGTCCTTGTCCTTCAAGATAGCAACAAGCTCTCTTTGTCAACCACAGCGACTGTTGCGTATACTTTATCCATTTGCTCATTCAGCAAATACTGAATGTCAGTGGTGTGGTAACGGCTCTTCCAGCTACTAGAAGTGTGGAGAAAAGCAAGCAAGCATGTTCCTCATGATTTCAGAATTAAACAGTCCAGCAACTGTTAAATGTGCATGTAGAGTATTTCAAAAGATGGTGATTACAACAGAGAAGGGTGAGGGAAGATGTGGGGAAGGAAGCAGTGGGATCCTATACAGATAGACAGTGCTCTATTATTTCTACTTAAAGTACTTACAAACTTAAAAAAAAGAGACCAAGGCAAAGTATTTTTAAAATGCTCATGATAATAAAGCATGTGTAAAAGTAACCTACAAGCTAAATCTGCAGGAAATACCCAGTTAAGCAAAGTGCAATGGGCTTCTATAAGAGAAAGGCCCTGCTAAGGCAGGACCATCTGACATCATGATGATAGGAGGCTCGCTAACTGAATGCCTGCATCCAGCAGACTCTCAAAATAACACACAACCAAAAGTACAGTCTTAATGCACCATTCAGGGAACACACCCTGATATTCCCTGTAGCTGGAGAGTTTTCTCTCTGGGTCCCGCCAAGCCCCGGCAGTCCGACAGACCACTTATAAAATAAACACACAGACACTTACATTATTTAAACTGTTTGGCCTAATGGCTCAGGCTTCTAGCTATCTAGTTCTTACATCTTAAATTAATCCATTTCTATAAATCTATACCTTGCCACATGGCTCGTGGCTTACCGGCATCTTCACATGCTGCTTGTCATGGCGGCAGCTGGCAGTGTCTCCCACTCAGCCTTCCACTTCCCAGAATTCTCCTCTCTGTTAGTCCTGCCTATACTTCCTGCCTGGCTACTGGCCAATCAGTGTTTTATTTATTGACCAATCAGAGCAACACATTTGACATACAGACCATCCCACAGCAAATCCCAATAGCAGGAATGTTTCCAAACACAGGAACCCTATCATTTGTAAGCTTAGCAACTCTTTCAGATATTTCTAGTGCTGTTGAAACCATAATGCTCTTTAAAGAGAATTTTTCCTTACCATATGAAGAAACTAATGAGTTGTATCTTAAATTCCAGATAAGTTTGGAATCAACAATGTCACAGGTGTTATCTATGTGAACTCACCATTGGACTACGAGACAAGGACCAGCTATGTCCTTCGGGTGCAAGCAGATTCTCTGGAAGTGGTCCTCGCCAATCTCCGAGTTCCTTCAAAAAGTAAGTTACATTGCTTAAGAGAATGACAACATTTTGAGGTATTTTTACTGTTTAAATAGTGAGTTACATATGCATGAAAAAAAAAGCTATGCCTTAAGGCTTTAGGAACCTCCTTAGTTGCTGGAGAGGAATAGCCATTCATCTTAGCAGATGGCATGGCAACTCTAGGAATGAGGCAATAACACACTATTTACAGATGATGTATAAAATACTGTTATGATAACTTCACTTGCATAAATTGATCAGCAAACTTTTTCATCCCCCTTTGAAAGCCTGGCTGCATGGCTAATAATACTGCAATGGATGCATGACCACCAGACACTGCCTACATGAGAACAGAGGGAAAGTAACTTAAAAATAGTAACTAGTGGGCGCCAAGATGACTCAGTGAGTGAAGGTGCTTGCCACCAAGCCTAGACATGAGTTTGATCCCAGAATCCTCATGGCAGAAGAAAAGAATCAACTCCTGAATGTTGTCCTCTTACTGCCACATACACATGGAGGCATGCATATACCCAAGGTGCAGAGAGAGAGAGAGAGAGAGAGAGAGAGAGAGAGAGAGAGAGAGAGAGAGAGAACTAAATAAAACTAACATAAAACTAAACTAAATAAAAGAATTTTAATATTTTAAGTTAGTGATTAACAATAATTATAATTTACATGTAGCATCCCATTTAATTTCCATGTGTTTCTATGTGATGATCAAATGACTATCGACTTTCTAAAATTAGGTTCAGTAATGTTATGAAGTGACTGTCGGTACGTAAAAAAACATGATGTAGTTGGAACAGTGATGCTAAACTATTTCTTTGACCGGTCAGAGCAACATCACTCCTGTGGAAAAGCAAGCAGATGTCAGTTTGTAGAAAAGGCTGTGACTGATGCTAGGACAATGTTACTAATGTTACAGTAAATCCATGCATGTAACACTTTTCCACACCGAGGCAATTGATGCTAGGACAATGTTACCAATGTTACAATAAATCCAGCATGTAACACTTTTCCACACCAAGGCAATTGAGCCTTTTATAATCAGTGTGTCCTGTTTAAGATCCAGATGGTTACAATAAAACACTTTTCACCTAACTTCATACAATAGAGGCATCTGCAGAAAGAAAAGTGCAATAAAGCATCTGAAACAGTGGTTCTCAACCTGTGGGTCAAGACCCTCTCACAGGGATGGCATACTATATCCTGCATATCAGATATTTATATTATGAATCATAACAGTAGCAAAATTACAAAGTTGCAACAAAAATAATTTTATGGTTGGGGATCACCACAACCTGAGGAACTGTATTAAAGGGTCTCAGCATTAGGAAGATTGAGAACCAGTGCCCTAAAACATTCATCTTTTCCCTTGAGATCATGTTTCAACACCACATTACATCATGACATTCATCAGCTTCTCTAGAAGGGGAAGAGGAAAAGAGATGGAGGCAATGTAAACCTCAGAGAGCCAGGTGCTTAAGAAGGAAGGGCTCACGGTGAAGGGAAAAAAAAGTGGGAGATGTGATATACAAGCACATCAGCTCAGCAACTGACTGTCACTAGAGTAGACTGTTATTTACCATTAACTTTACTTAACAAGCTGGTGTGGGTGGCTGTACAGTTGTTTGTAAAGATACAAACAATGTATCTTTGTAAAGATAGTTGTTTGTAAAGATACATACAAAGGCATTCAGATAATGATACTGTCCTCAGAGATAATACTTCACTGGCATAGTTAAACTGTTTCAAAAGAGCAGACCACTTTCTCCAGGTTTTAAACATTTGTAATTTTGTTAATTTTATGTGTATTGGTGTTTCCCTGCATGTATGCATGTGGCAACATGTGCATGGAGGCCCAAGAAGGTGCCCAATCCTCAGGAACTGGAGCTATGGGTGATTGTAAGCCACGGTGTGGGAGCTGGAAACTGGAACTGAATTCTCTACAAGAGCAGCAAGTGTCTTAACCACTGAGCATCTCTCCATTCTTCATTCAGGTTTTAAAGACCTTAAGCTGGGGCCAGTAAGGTGGCTTAGCAGGGAAGGGCAATTGCTGTCAATCCCCGGGTCCCCAGCTTGAGGAAAGGATTCCTGCAAGCTGTCCTCTGACTCCCCCTTACCTGTGACAAATCAACACACACACACACACACACACACACACACACACACACACACACACACACACACAATTAAGTGAATATAATTTTTAAAAGCATGTAAATTACAAGCATTTACACTTTTAGAGAAAGGTAGAAGATTCCATAGACTGTAAACCTATCCGGCTAAATAAACAGATAAAATGTTATAAAAGAATGGAATTATATAACTTGTTGGCTGAAACAAACAGCTACAATGTTCTGAAAGAAAGGTATTATGTAACTTGTAAACACAGCAAGTGGAAAAAGTTAATTGAAAATTGCAACTATCACTTTTCATTGAAACAAATAGCTTTAAAAGGAAAATTGTACTGCATGCTCAGGGTATAGGACCTTGTATTTCCAAAGGACTATCTATAATTTTCAGAATAGAGAGATGGTAAGTTCTCTATGTAAACATAATACAAGTACTTCCCTTCACTATAGTGTTAAAGTACATGAAAGACAATAGAAGTTTACCCAATGCCCAGGTATAAGCTTGAATGTGCCCTGGCGGGTATGCAGTGATGAGACTAGCTAACAAACTCATGAAATACCCCTCAGAAATGCATGAAGCCTAAAAGGCACATGTTCATTTGCTCACTGCCTGATTATTTGAATATTGCTATTAACATTTCATGACTAACCTTTGCCTTCTGTTCAAACTGAAGACACATGCATTTCCAACATCATTCCATTTATTAATAACTGTTAATGGCCTGTAATCAATCAGCAGTCCATTAGCTATGCAAATAAGTAGACCATTATGTAAATTGAGGTTAATTAATTAATTGTCTAAAGGTTTTACTTTGCTACAAAATTAGCTACCCTATGGATTTTAACTCTATTGCACATCATATTAATAAAAGTAAGCATCTAATTCACTGAAGTTGTGCTTTATTGTGACTCCTTTATCAAGTGATTGTTCATAAAATAGTTTTCAAAGTGAATTTTACAACTGTTCCATAAATAGATTTAACATGTGAATAAAAGTTAAAATAGGAAATTATAGAGCTCATTTTATAGATTCAACATTTGAGTTTAAGACAGTATAGGCTAGTGTTTTTCAGTGCTAGTGCTAAGGTTGGGCATATTTCAATATCTAACTCTTACTAGACCATCACAGTGAAATATTAACATGTGTAACACTTTCTGCTACGATTCCAGCTACCTCCCATGACCTCCCTTAAAAACTTATCAGAAACATACCAACCCATCTTTAAGTATTTCCATATTATCTCTTTATTTTATTAACATTTTTCACTTATTTTACATATTGATCACAGGTTCCCCTCCCTCCTCTCCTCCCCTTTCCTCCCCCAACTCCCATCTACCCCCCTCTTCATCCACTCCTCCTCCATCTCCATTCAGAAAGAGACAGGCCTCCCATGGGCTTGAACAAAGCATGGCATATCAAGTTGAGGTAGGACCCAACACCTCCCCCTATATCAAGACTGGGTCAGGTAATCCATCATGAGGAACAGGTTCCCAAAAGCCAGCTAAGTGCCGGGGATAGGTTCTGATCTCACTGATAGGAGCCTTACAAACAGACCAAGCTACACAACTGTCACACACATGTAAAGTGCCTAGGTCGGTCCCATGCAGGCTCCCTGGCTGTCGGTCCAGAGTCCATGAGCTCCTACAAGCTCAGGTCAGCTGTCTCTGTGGGTTTCTCTGTCATGACCTTCACCCACCCCACCCCACCCCCGGCTCATACAATCACTCCTCCCTTTCTTCAGGAGGACTCCCAGAGCTTGGCCCACTGCTTGGCTGTGGATCTCTGCATCTGCTTCCATCAGTTACTGGATAAAGGCTCTGTGATGACAATTAGGAGAGTCAACAATCTGATTACAGTATTGGCCAGTTCAGGCACCCTCTTCATTATTGCTAGGTGTCTTAGCTGGGTTCTCCTTGTGGATTCCTGGGAGTTTCCCTGGCATCAGAACACTGGCTGCTCTTCTAGAGATCCTCAGTTCAATTCCCAGCAACCACATGGTGGCTCACAACCATCTATAGTGAGATCTGGTGCCCTCTTCTAGCCTGCAGACATACATGTAGGCAGAACACTATATATACTCCATATTATCTCTTAAAGATAATGCCAACACAAAACAGCTCTAACCTCAAAGGGAATAAGTGATATTTTATTCTTGAAACAAAAAACGATGACCATGGCCTAGTGGTTGTCCATTAACTGCCTACCACATGTTGAACATTATAACAGTGTTTCAGAACACAAGGATTTAGGAATCCAAATTGCTGCCTTCAAAGTTCCCTTTGGTTGAATTAAGAGACAAAAGCCACATATAACTATGGACAATGCAAGACCTATACCGTAAGAGTGATTGCCAGTGCGTGTACAAAGTTTACATCATTCAGAAGCGTTCACTCTAGCGTAAATAATCAAATAGCTCAACCATTGCCCTGTATCTTTGAAAATGAACTAGAGGAAGTTAGGAGGGCAATTCCAAACACAATAAGGAGATACTAAAAGTATGCAAAGTAATTATTTTGTAAGAAGTTGGGATAAGAGAACCAAGGTACTAAAAACTAAAGGGATTTGTAAAAATTTCATATAAATAATCAATAATAATAGGTTTTATAGGGTATTAAAGCAGGATTGACTGCTATGAAAGCCCATACTCACAGGAAGAAAGGAAGAATGTCAAGTGAATGGAATCATGAGAGATTTTTTTTGGAAAGGAAATAAGATTATGAGGTTAGATATGAATCCTTTTCTAAAGCACACTCATCTTCATGAAAGGCAGGATGTGGGCTGTATCATACACCTTCCCACATCAAGTTCAATGCTGGCAACTATAACAGAAATGCTGTTTCCTCTATTTGCTGGGTGGTGAACTCACATTTGAGACATAG